TTTACTAAAAGAACTAAGGACATGATTGAAGTAATCTTTGGCATTATCTGACCTAAGCCTCTTAATATTAACACCAAACTGATTTTTTATCATGGAGTGGAAGTTTAGGAAGACGAAGCCGACTTCGATTTTTGTTTAAGTAGGAAAACCCAAGTGACCCTTGTACAGTCATCTATAAAGGTGACAAACCATCGAGTACCGAGACACATTTGGAATATTAGAAGGTCCCCATACATCAGTATGAACAAGATAAAAAGGAAATTGCTAATTCTATTACTTATTGGAAAAGATATACGTTTGTGCTTAACAAGTTCACACACCTCACAATGAAGACTCTCAACATCTAACTTGGTAAACAGAGAGGGAAATATAATTTTGATCACTCCAAAAGAGGGATGTCCCAACCGACAATGATAAAACATGATTTTTTCCTCTGTTGGTCATCAAGGATTCAGATATAAAGGAGTGAGAGATTCTATTCTTGCTGGCGAGACTTGGATCTTCGAGATAATAAAGGTCATTCCATTCTCTAGCATGTCCAATCATCCTCCCCGAATCCTTATCCCGAAATACACAATGATCATTGGAAAAAACAACTTTACATGACAAATCCTTTATAAGTTTTTGTATAGACACTAGGTTCGTGGACAACTTTGGGACATGGAGAATGTCTTTTAAGGTTATTAAAGGATTGATTTGGATATTTCCTTGACCAGCTGCAGTTATAAGGGTTCCATCTGCTGTGGCAATTTTCTTGTTGCTGGGACATGGGGAATATGTGCAGAAGTGTTTGACTAATGGTGTCATGTGATCTGTGGCTCCGAGTCCAATATCCAATAATGGTTAAAAGGCGTATCTGAGACATTTAATCCAAAAGAAGGTGGAAACTTACCCGAGTATGCCAAAGAACACATACACTGTAGGTTTTTCCGACTTACTAAGAATGGTTTTCACCCTTTCTATCTCCTCTTCCCTTGACATTATAGCAAAAGGTGCGATGCAACAACAATGCGAGTTGTCGTCTTAGGATTATGAAAAATGCAGCAGCAATGCAGGCTGTCGTCTTAGGATTAAGAAAAATGCAGCAGCAATGCAGGCTGCCGTCTTAGGGTTAAGAAAAATGCAGCAGCAATGCAGGCTGCCGTCTTAGGGTTACAAAATATGCAGCAGCAATGCAGGCTGCCGTCTTAGGGTTTATCGAGCGCAGACAGAGCTTCCTAGATCGGAAGCTCTGATACCATCTGGAAAAATAGATTAACTGAAATATGATTTATTTTATTATTACAATACAAAGAGATGATATAAGATATATACAAGAGACCTAAACTATTTTAGGAAATATAATAACTCTATTTTATGCTAGGATCCCTTGATTTATGGGATTGTTCCTAATTATTCAAATCTGTACAGATTACAAGGAAATATACAAATTTCCTTATTTATTCTTTCCTAAAATACTATTTGATTTCTCACAGAAACAAAGCCGTGAAGAATGATCTTGAAAGAGAATCTGTTGGAATGTTCTCTTTGCTTGGCTTGTATTCAATAGTGAAATCATAGCCCAATAGTTTTGGCAACCAATTTTGTTGTTCTGGAGTTTGCAAGGATTGGTTGTTCAAAGATCTGACTCTTCTGGTTTGTTCTTATTATAAACTTATGGCCCAGTAAATAGTGTCTGAATTTTGCAATAGCCTCCGAAATAGCATAAAACTCCCTGGTATAGGCAGATTGCTTCTGCATCCTTGGAGACAACTTCTTAGACAAATAGGCAATGGGATGACAATCTTGACCCGAGGCATCAATCTCTAAAATGAAGGGCTTAGAGAAATTAGGAAGTGCTAAAACTGGAGCTTCAGTGATTCTCTTCTTAAGTACAGCAAAAACACTTCAAAAGCCATAGTAGCATTATCATCCCAAACAAAGTTGTCTTTCTTGAGAAGATTAGTCAAAGAGGATGCAATAGAGGCATATCCTCTAATGAATCTCCAGTAGTAGCCTGTAAGCCCCAAAAAACTTCTAAGTTGTTTGATGTTAGTTGGAATTGGCCAATCAATCGCAACCTGAATCTTCTCCTTGTCCATAGCTACTCCTTCTCCACATAATGTATGTCCCAAATATTCAATTTGAGTCAAACCAAATGAACATTTGGACAACTTAGCAAACAGTTTATGTTGCTGTAACAATTTCAAAACTGCTTTTAAGTGTTGTAGATGGATATTCCAACTAGGGCTGTAGACAAGTATATCATCAAAGAAAACAAGGACACACTTCCTCAAAAGTCCTTTGAACACATCATTCATCAAACTCTGAAAGGTTGCCGGGGCATTAGTTAGCCCAAAAGGCATTACCAACCATTCATAATATCCCTAGTGTGTTCTAAAAGCAGTTTTACATCTGTCTTCTTCCTTTACCAAAATCTGGTGATAACCAGACCTGAGATCTAATTTTGAGAAGAATCTAGCTCCAAATAATTCATCGATTAACTCATCCACCATTGGAAGAGGGAAACTATCCTTGATGGTGATGACATTTAGTGCCCTATAATCAGTGCAAAACCTCCAAGTGCCATCTTTCTTCATAATCATACCAATATGATGGGGGAAGAGAAAGGGCTAAAGCTAGGAGAAATTATGCCTTCATCCAACATGTCTTTCACCATTTTTTCAATCTGTTCTTTTTGGCTATGGGGGTATCTATAAGGCTTAACTTTCACTGGCTAAGCACCTTGTATTAAGGAAATTGAGTGGTTTTGAAGTCTGGATGGAGGTAATCCAGAGGGAATGGAAAACACTTGTTTGTACGTGTATAGCAATATAGCCAATTTCGGGTCAATATTGGTTGGCAATTCCAGAAGTTGGTCATTATGAACTGTGGTTAAGGAAAAATGGAGGGAATATAATTCAACAATGGCTTGAGTTTGGTGAATCTTTTTAGTTGGTGGCAATGAGCTGGTGATGGTAATTGTGGCAATTCACCATATAAAGTGATGAATTGTTTGTTTAATAAAAACTTGAGGGTCAGCTTGCTATAATCCGATATGTTGGGGCCAGTGTTGAGAGCCAAGAGGCTCCAAGGACCAAATCAGCACCTGAAACTGGGAGTAGATACACTGGTAACAATAGTGAATTCCCTTGAATCTTCACCTCCAAGTTATTGACTAAGCCTTCAGCAGCATTAAAGACATTACCATTACCCACCAGTACTTTAAAATTAGGAATTGGCTCAACAGGCAGCTTTAAGCAATGAGCAATTCGAGGTTGCAGAAAATTATTAGAGCTACCATTGTCAAGAACTTGTACTCCATTGATCACTCCTTTAAATCTCATGGTCCCTAAACCTGAGGCACCCTTCAATGCATTATATGACAAGTGAGGCTCAGTTAAAACTTGAGATTCCAGGTTTGGCATTGGCTCACTTGGATCGGTGTCTTGTGCATTAAGTAATTCCTCTTCTTCAAATTGCAGCAACAGATATTGCTTATTTGGACATCTGTGTGAGGGAGTGAACTTGTCATCACATGTAAAACAGAGTCCTTTTTCTCTTCTAAGTTGCATTTTAGCAGACGTTATTTTTTTAATGGGTGTGGTATTTGTAGGATTGGGCAGTAGTGGTGGTAAATTGGTAGTTTTTAAGGATTGAGATAGGTTTTGGTTTGTGTTTGTGGCTTGTGTATTACGGCTAAAGGTGTTTTGGTAGGTTTTGGGTTTGGTTATATATTTCTCCTCATAAAGTTTGGCCAGTGACACACATCTCAGCAATGTGGTTGGATTTGAGCAATAACATCCCTTCTGATATCAGGTTTGAGACCCCCAACAAAGCAATCTAACAAGACTTCAACAGTAATACCTTGTACTCTATTAGCCAACCATGTGAACTTCAAATAGTAATTCTGAACAGAATTTTCCTGAGTCAACTTAAACAAGCTAGATCTGATACATTCATACGGAGAAGGGCCATATTCGAGCTCTAGTGAAAGAAATCCAAGTAGGAAAAGCATTATCCCGCATTTGCATTTGAAACCATGGCACTACCTCTTTATCTAGGTGTAATGCAGCAATAGTTAATCGTTGTTCCTCAGGAGTTTTATAATAACTAAAATATTGCTCAGCCTTGAAAATCCACTGTAACACATCAGCTCCATCAAATCTGGGAAAATCGAGTTTGACATTTCGAACCATTCCAGGTTGATGCTGCGAACCATTATTATTCGTACCTCCCAAATGAAGTAATGAATCCAAATTCGACTCGAGTGTCTCAAAGTGAGTATCATTGTCCTTATCACGAGCAGCTAATAGCTCCATTAGCTTCTTCATCTCCTTATCCTGAGTGTTTAAAGCCTCAACAATCTTGTTCATGCTTTCAGGTAGATCTTTGAGACGGTTCACCTCCGTTGTGAGTTCCTTCAGGCGCGTGTTCTCGGCCATGACTCAATGAAAGCACTAATGTAATGTTCGTTAAAATATCAAAAATGGAATGAAACAGTACTGTGGAATAGTGGTATTCAATTTGGAAAAAAATTTCAATACAATAGCAGAAAAATAACCAAAAAGGGTCCCAACAGAAAAATGGTCAGAGAAATGAACTACCATAGAGAGAAAGGTTCTACATGAATCCACCACCCCCTTTCTTCCTTTTCTTTTTTTCGTTTTATGCTCACTCTCACATCACAAAATCCCTCCAACGTGTATTGACCTTCTTGATACGTGCCCCCTTGCCCATTTCCTCAATTTCAGCACCACTTGCCACGTGTCCTCTTCTTCTAACTAACTCTGCAATTGACTCTTCTGCCCTCCTTGCATTGTTCCCCACTTGATCGTTTGTTACACATTAACAATTTTATGAAGTTCACTATTTTGTACTCACACACATGAACAATCAAACATATTAGAAAACTGCTACTTCAATTTATTATAAATTGTGATTTCATAGAAAATTATGGAATCTAATAATGTATAAATTTGGGGTCCTCTATTCATAATCATTCTGAATGACTGATACAGAAGAGCCAATTTCACAGCTGCTGATATGAGAGAATCTGACTTTAGCGGTTCAACTTTCAATGGTGCATACCTTGAGAAAGCTGTTGCATACAAGGCAAATTTTTCAGGTATAAGCTTATTGCATTATAGATTTCAAATGCTAAGTAATATCTTTACAACATGATTGAATGCAATTCTAAGTTATATTTGTTTTGTTAAATAGAAGGTCTAATATTTTCATCTAATAAACTCTGTTAGACCCATTGCTTACTCAAATTATCTAATTTATTCACGTAATAGATTCTGTTAGACCCAGGCAGTTTTCCTTCATAGTCATGGTTAAGCCTTTCAGGTTAACACATCCAAACGAGTGTTTATTCTCTGGGTTAAAAATATGACAATATATTCCTGCAAAAGACATGAAAAACTAATTTATTTTCTTTATTAAAAGAGTGATGTAGTTCAAGAAATTTAAAAATTTCACACATTAGTTTCCTTCACTTGATACATTTCTTATACGCATGTATACCTTTTACTTTGTCATCCTCATGAATCTCCCCATATTTTTTTCTTTGCAGAAAATTCCTGTGCTTCTTGTGTGTAATTTCTAACAGTGACTCTAATTTTTAAATGTTTTCATCTGACATTTTTCAGGTGCCGATTTAAGTGATACATTGATGGATCGCATGGTAACTGCATCAAGTTGATTAATTTATCTATATGTTGGGTGTTATTTTTTTCTTTTAATTTAATTTATATGTGATTTTTTTATCGTATCTTTGGTCTACAGGTTTTAAATGAAGCCAATCTCACTAATGCCATTCTCCTTAGAACAGTCCTCACACGGAGTGACCTTGGGGGTGCCATCATCGAAGGTGCTGACTTTAGTGATGCTGTCTTGGACCTTCCCCAAAAGCAGGTATAACCATTGATGTTATTAAAAGAATGGATCCTCTAATGTGAATTGGATGATGATTTTATTCTTTCAAATAAAGAATTTTCAATCCTCTCCTCCCCTTCCATTCCATTCCAATGAGTAACCGAGATCAATCCCAGCATGGTTTCATCTTCCAATTAATCACTTTCCTTTTTTATTGTTCTCAAATGAGAAAAATATTCTAACATAGATTCAAGCATGACATTACAATAAGAAAAATATATCTTTTCTTATCAATTCTTTTGCTACCCTTTCAAATATAGGATCTTGAAGGAGAGATGGGTATCACATCATAAATCTGATTGTAAATTTTTTGACAGATTCTTCTATTCATGTTTTTGTTGTCTTTCTGTTGCTATTTTATTTTGTCTCTCTCCCATGATACTCACATATGATCAGGATACATGACCCATCCTTGCTTAGAATATGTATCCTTGTAAGATTGAAATGCTTTTTCTGAGTATAATTTTTACCTAAGGTGACATCGATATGACGTATACTGTTTGGTTAAATTGTTAGGCTTTATGCAAGTATGCTAGTGGCACAAATCCTGTGACAGGAGTGAGCACAAGAGTAAGCTTAGGTTGTGGGAACAAACGACGAAATGCTTATGGCTCCCCATCATCTACCCTTTTAAGTGCTCCACCACAGAAACTGCTTGACCGAGATGGTTTCTGTGATGAAGCAACAGGACTTTGCGATGCAAAGTAGTCACTCGGAGTAATCCTTGCTACAAGGCCATATTCGTGTAAATATACGAGAGAGACTATAATTGAGGTCTTCTTGCCTTTTGGACTTTGCTGAGAGCACACCCACATTCATGAAATGATGCCACTTCTTGAATCTATGTTGGGTGTTGGCCTCTGTTTAACAAGCCAGAACCTATTTTATGCAGTCATCTTTCTCCTATGCAAGATCTACTGGATGTAAGATTACGCTTCGTCCTTTGCACATAATTAATTTCTCATCCTTCTGACATTATGAACCTTCTGGTGATCTAATTCCACAAGTGAAATTATAGTATGAATCAGGCATCTCTTTTATATCATTTATGATGTTTAATTCCTTTATCAAATATTAATCAGCATAATGATTATGATCAGATAATTGAATTATGAAACACAATGCGAAGATAGCAGTTAACTTTCTATAATCATCAGTCAACTTACATTCAAACCTATATTGAGTGTGTTTGGTAAGACTTTTAAGTTAACTTATAATTTATTTGTTCATAAAAAACGTTTATTTGTCCAACGTAAATCCGTTTGATGAAGGAATTTTTTATTAGTAACTAAATAGTATTTTGTGAGCATTTTTGAAATACTATTTTATGTTAAGGTTTGTTTTGATGTATTTTAAAAAAATAATGATAGCAAACCAAATGAAAATGGTCGAAACAATGATATATATGCACCTCCGTTTAGGTCTCATGCCACGCTGTCTGTGCTTCACAAAATTCATTACTTTATGTTAGTAATTTTTTTAAGTTTAAATACATTTTTATTAGTGTAAAATTGTAAGTTCCCATTTTGATTTGTATAATTTTTTTCTCTTTTTTTTTTACCAAGCATTTTACATCGCATTCATACACATCGTTGTATAACTTAAATCAATTTTTTTTTCTTCATTGATTGGTCCACAATCCTGTACTGCCGGGCTACGTGATTTAGTATTAGAATTAATTAGGCCCAAAAAAAATTGTTACAGTCAAATCCCTTATTACTGAGTTCACATCCCTTTTTTTATATGATTCAAAATCCTAAATTTCTCCAATGTATCCTACCCCTCTCCCTGCATGCACACATCGTAAGAAGATGTACAGGTTGAAATATTATATTCTTAACTTTGAAAAATATTATTTTATCTTTATTTAAGCTATTTGTGGTTTTCAAATTAATAGTCTAAATTAATTTTCATGATTTTAATTCAATTTTAGTTTTTTTTAACTAATTTTTCAGCAATGTTAAGCAGCAAACACCTGTTATATATATATATATATATATATATATATATATATATATATAAACAATTAAATAAACTTAAAACATTATTTATATATATAGATATTTAAAACCCAATATCCAAAGGAACAAGGGATGGTGGCAGAACATTCCAGAACCCCCTTCCCCGCATCACAGAACTCTCTAGTCTCTCTCTCCAGCGCTTTTCATCTCCTATAACCCCTCCCTCTTCCCCACTCTCCTTAATCAAATTAATTATCTCCTTCTAAACGCCAACCTCCCTAAATAATTCCTATGGCAGACGAAGCCAAAGCCAAAGGTAACGCTGCTTTCTCATCCGGCGACTATGCTGCCGCCATCCGCCACTTCTCCGACGCCATCGCCTTGTCCCCCACTAACCACGTCCTCTATTCCAACCGATCCGCCTCGTACGCGTCCCTTCAGAACTATTCCGATGCCCTAACCGATGCCAAGAAAACCGTTGAACTCAAGCCCGACTGGTCCAAGGGCTACAGCCGTCTTGGTGCCGCGCATCTTGGCCTCTCCCAATACGACGATGCCGTTTCGGCTTACAAGAAGGGCCTCGAAATCGACCCCAACAACGAGCCCCTCAAGGCAGGTTTGGCCGATGCGCAGAAGGCCCAAGCCGCGGCCTCCAGACCCCGCTCCTCCCCTGCTAACCCCTTCGGCGATGCTTTCTCTGGGCCCGAGATGTGGACCCGGCTCACCGCGGACCCCACCACTAGGGCTTACCTCCAACAGCCTGATTTCGTGAAGATGATGCAGGATATCCAGAAAGATCCTAATAAACTCAACCTGCACCTGAAGGATCAGAGAGTCATGCAAGCCATAGGGGTTTTGCTCAACGTTAAGATTCAAACCTCTCCCCCCACCGACGCTGAAATGCCTGATACTTCCGAGAGAAAGAGACCCGTTGAAGCTGAGCCCGCTAAGCAGCCCCAGCCCGAGCCTGAGCCCGAGCCGGAGCCTATGGATTTTTCTGAAGATGAGAAGAACGCGAAGCAGAGGAAGGCTGAGGCTCTGAAAGAAAAGGAAGCGGGCAATGCAGCATATAAGAAGAAGGATTTTGATACTGCAATTCAACATTACACCAAAGCTTTGGAGTTGGATGATAAGGATATATCTTATCTCACCAACCGCGCTGCTGTGTACTTGGAAATGGGAAAGGTATGCGTCTATTTTTTTTTTTTGGCTTAATTGAATTTCTGTTCAATTATGTTTTGATGGTCGTTGTCCACTTTTCTAACTCAATGCAGGGTTTGGTGATTTAATTGAAATGTTTTTGAACTACTTCGTCATATTCTTGCATTTAATTAAGTTAATATTGGTTGGGATGTATTATTTTTTCTGCATGCTCTCGTTTATAATTGTACATTGAAGAACCAAATGTGTTTTACTAATTTGAATTATGACTCTTTATATGCGAAGTAGAGAAATGGGTTACCGTGAATAAGAATAGTTTTTGGGATGCGATTTGGATATGAACTTAAGTATTTACATAAGAGTTTATTAAGGGACTTGTTTTTATACTTAAGGTCAAAGAACACTTCCTTTAGGAAATGTTTTGGTAATTTTTATGTATGGTGTGTAGAACTCTTGCAATTACCTTTGTCATTGAGTAAGCCAACTGTCTACCATGTAATACTGGCAACTTGTTTTCATTCCATACCATCATAGTTGAAGGAAAAATGTGTAATCGAGCATGCGTGTATTTATCAACCCTTAAAAAGTTTACCATAAAATTTCCAAATTACTGCGGTTTTGTGTGAGATCTTGTGTGATTTTACCTACATGTGCAAGATGCTTTAGTGTACCCGAATGCCGAACGGCTCCCAAGTGTTTGTGATGAATGATACACGAGATTTTAATTAGGCCATGTTCAGTACGATGCATCTAGAGGAAAGGGATAAATTGAAGTTAAGATTAATTTTTACACTGAACATGACAATATCATAACCCCCGTTTTGTTGCTGAAGCTTGTGAGTTGGACGGGGAATTTGGTCAAAGTTGTCTATGTATGGTTATCATTACTGTGCCTCCGAACATCTATGTTGGGTCTTTTGATTTTATAGCAAGTACATGACTTTGGAATAATATGAAGAAAAAAATGAATTTAGTTAGGAAAAATTATTTTCCCCTGAACTTTGCATTCTCACAGCAATTCCTTTGTTCATTTATTTTTTCCCAGTATGACGAATGTATCAAAGATTGTGATACGGCTGTTGAAAGAGGAAGAGAGCTAAGGTCAGATTTTAAAATGATAGCCAGAGCTTTGACAAGGAAAGGAACTGCTTTGGTGAAAATGGCGAAGTGCTCAAAGGATTACGATCCTGCCATTGAAACATTCCAGAAAGCACTCACTGAGCACCGCAACCCGGACACTTTGAAGAAACTTAATGAAGCTGAAAAGGCAAAGAAAGATCTAGAACAAGAAGAATATTTTGATCCAAAGTTGGCTGATGAGGAAAGAGAAAAAGGTATAACCACTTTTAGTTGACTCTCGGGGTTCTTCATTCATTTTCAGCAAGCATTGTATCTTTATTTGAAAGAACACCAATAACTGTGTAAGCTTTTCATTTCGTCAATTTCTTATTACATACTCTGTATTACTGAAACTTCTATGTAGGAAACGAATTCTTTAAGCAGCAGAAGTATCCCGAGGCTGTGAAGCATTACACAGAGTCTATACGAAGAAATCCGAAAGATCCTAGGGTAATAATTCTCTTTGAATAGAATTTAATAAAAGTTGTATTTAATGGAAAATGATGGGTGTTAATCTGTCTAAATTATTCAATGCTTTCAGGCTTATAGTAACAGAGCAGCATGCTATACTAAATTGGGGGCAATGCCTGAAGGTTTGAAGGATGCAGAGAAGTGCATTGAACTTGATCCAACTTTCGTTAAGGGTTATACCAGGAAAGGTGCGGTGCAGTATTTCATGAGGGAATATGACAAGGCTTTGGAAACATATAGGGAGGGGTTGAAATATGACGCTAACAACCAGGAGTTGCTTGAAGGCATTAGGACGTAAGATATTGATTTACATTCCTGGATTGTATTTTCAATATTTCCTGTTCTTGTTATATTGATTGTATTATTATTTGGGCCTAATAATCTAATATCCATATCAGATGTATACAACAAATTAATAAGGCTAGCCGTGGAGACTTAAGTCCTGAAGAATTGAAGGAGAGACAGGTATGCCATAACTCTATACTTTATTGTCTAAATCATTGCATTTGAAGATTATGTTAATTATAAAATTTGTATTCTTGCAGGCCAAGGCAATGCAAGATCCAGAAATTCAGAACATTCTCCAAGACCCTGTTATGAGACAGGTTTGCTTCCTTTCTGATTGAATTATGCGTATTTCGGTGGTGAAACATAAATAGGATGTGCTTATAAAAGCGGGGTGTGTACTGTCTATGCAGGTATTGGTTGATTTCCAGGAAAATCCCAAGGCTGCTCAGGAACATACGAAGAATCCAATGGTGATGAACAAGATTCAAAAGCTGGTCAGTGCTGGAATTGTCCAGATGAGGTAAAGTTGCGGAAGAATGGCACTGTTGGTGTGAAAAAGCAATCGTCAGTTATTTCTTTCTGTGTGACTATTTTGATATTTGAATAGATTTGATTGGGAAAATAGTTGGGGAATTTTGACATGTTTATTACCTACGTTTTGTTTTAGTGAATTCATATATTTTCATCAGATGCACTCCATTTTTATATTTCATTGGCTTATTTTGCGTGACATGATTTTGTTTTAATTCAATTTAAATCGACGGGTGATGAAGTCGCATCTAATGTTTTTTAAATTACAGGCTTTATTTTAGTGCTTCGAATTTGATGATAAAAGATTTGTAAGAAAAAATTTAAATTTCATTCAGAATATGTATTACAAATAATTTATTTGTAGATATTATAATGATAAACTACAATAATAATTATTTATTAAACTACAATAATATCAGATTATGATATTAAAAAATGTATTACAAATAATTTATTTGTAGATATTACAAATAGTATTGATGTCCAAAATCATATAGTAATTCAATTAAATGTCTTGTGTAACTCACTATGTAAGTTATTCGCGCTTGGTCCGAAGGCTTACTTTTGTCTCCTTCATGAAAAATAATATCGAACATGTTTTTATTTTAACAAATATAAATAATAAACAAGTTTAACTAAAGTGTTTTGGTATATGACTTTAACTAAAGTGTTTTGGTATATGACTTTTAATACAATCGTTAAACGATTAATATATCACACGTTCTCAATTGTCATAGAAATGAGTGTGTAAAATAGTTTTATATCTATACATTTACTCTCATTTAAGTATTGTAGATTATAATGTTTTATAATATGATAGTATGATATGATATTACATAAAATACTACATTATTCATTATATAATGATTAGAAACAGGTTAATTTATTTGGGTCAATATTTTTTTATTATTAATCAATTTTTAGTATATATATATAAAATAAGTTAAGATATGTTGATGGAGTATTTTAACACATCATAATGAAATACAACTTTACATAACGTACATGAGTACTCCACTGATTTGAATTATCAGGAAATGACTGTATTAAAAAGTAAAAAATATGAAATAAATGTTTTAAAAAGTATTTAAAAAACATATCTGAACCGTACTTTAGAGATTTTGTAGTATTTTTGTAAGAAACAGGAAATAAAGAACCAAACAAGGAATGAAATTAAATAAAAGGAATGAAAGTTTTAAATGTTTATATTTTTTATGTCATTTGGTTGGTTAGTAAGAAACACAAGAGAGAGAAGAAAATACACTACTCATTCATTATTTCCTTCACTTTACATTTCATTGGATTAGAGATAGAAAAGAGATGGTTTAGATTAAGGAAAAACGAGAAAATTTGTGAGTTGATTTAATTGATAAGAATGATAAAAATAATATTTTAATAGAATAAATTTGATGATTATTAAATTATCTATTTGATGAAAATTATTATAATTTAAAATACAATAAATATTTAAATTATTTTATTTCAGTTAATAGCATAAAAATGTTGATTATCAATAAAATTATAATTATAATAATGATTTAAATGTTTATATTTTTTTTATTAAGAAACATTACTTCTATTTTGGAAAAAAAAATACATAATGAGTAATTAAAGAGATCAAAACATTTAGCAAAAGTTCACTGTTATCTCTGTTTTGATTAATTTTTGGTCCGGGGTACATGGATGCATATGGTAATTTTATTGCACAAAAAAATGAAACAAAACAATAGTATTCTTGTGGTGTCATGCATAGACATGTGAAAATTGCCTTTAAACATGAAAGTATCATAAGAGATGAGGTGTTTTTTTTTTTTTTTTTTTGTCTTATCTCCTCATCCTTCCTTTCTTGAAATTCGTGTTCTCAAATCCACTTGTGCAATTAACAACAAATAAGAAACTCACTCACAACAAACAAATTGTTAGAGAAAATATAAAAAAACACACTTATTATTTAGGATATTTCAGTAATTTATATATATATTATTTTATTGTTTATGTAGTGTCATCTTTTTTCCAATAGTGGGTAAAAGAAATTCTATGGAAAAGTTTGTTTGACGAATTTTATTATTATTATTAGAAAATAGTATTTATTAAAAAATAAACATTAAAACTATAAGGTATACTAAGTGAGAATCTTTCAACCTTTTACATGGATATAAGAATAGGAAAATAATAATAATAATAATAATAATAATAATAATTATATATTCCTAATATCTGAAAACATTTTTTTTAAGTACTTGTATCAAATTTGAGAATGCTGCATTTTGATATTAGTATTTACATGAATAATTTTGTAAAACTTGAAAAACACACTTTATTACTTTCTTCACGTGGTACAATACGATTTTGTGAAATTGAATTGACACGGGAATGGATGGCTAATAATATTGAAATTTATTATAAATTTATTAAAAGTGTCATTAATATACATAATAATTTGGATATAAGAGTCATCATATTGATTACAAACAGAGTTTAAAAAGGTATTCAAGTGATAAAAAATCCTTATTGTTCAATTAAGTTTTATAAATTTGAATTAGGTCAAAATCTTCCATTATAAGATTGATGAAATAATAAACTTTTATTAGATAATTTTAACTTTTAAATGCTTCATCAACTTTCATAAGCCCACAAGTTTGAAATATCCTTTTTAATGCATATGATATCAGATAGATTAAACAATTGCGCAATCCTCCTCTAACAAAGTGAAATCAATACACGTGTTTTCTACTATTTTATTTTATAATTTCCATGATTTTTTTAAAGTAGTATTATTTATAATTAATTAACAGTACAAAATCACATTAATAGCATATTAAAGTTAAAATATTTAATTTATTTGCCTTCTTCTTATCTTGTCCTTTCAAAAGGAAAAAGTATATCAAAATCTAGCATTGCTCAATCTGAATTAGTTACTGCTATTCATGTGGACCTTGTTTTGGGTTCATTAATTTCTTTGCAGTTAAGCTTGAGATTTGAACATAATCACTTTCTAATAGTTCATGCTTATCCGCTTCATGCAACTTTATCTTCTGCAAATTGAATCTCAAACTTTTTCATTTCTTTCGCTTTCTCGGTTTGAAATTTTGCTGGTTCTTTTTCCCATGGTAACTAACCCAAGGCACTTAAATCGAAGCATTAGGTGTTTTGATTACTGTGCAACTTTCACCTTTCATGGATAATTACAAACCCCAAATCATGATTACAAATATTAACGTGGACCCGCAAAGTTACTGAAACGTATTTTTATCCGCATGCATTACAGAGATATAACCTAAGACCAAATTTAGAGGTAGTAGAACAGGATCAGTTCTAACAGGTTGGGAGAGATAGACAAGAAACTTAAAACGACAGCACCTGTTTGAGTCTAACGAAATACGACGAACTAAGATTTCGATCTTATTGTTTTACATGCTTAGTATGTGGAAGAGTTGGAACAGGATTTGAGAAAGAGGAAATTAAGGAGATTGAGTAGGGTGGCTAGAGGCAAAGCGATTAACGAAGGCGAGAGCATTGCTTGTAACCTGAGCAACGTGGAGAACCCTCTCTTTTATGGCACCCTTCACGTTACCGTTCATGGCGGAACCAGCGAAGCCGTCAAGACAGGTGTTGTCGTCGGTGAGGGCAGCGCTAACCCACGTCTGTACGTTGCTCATGTGCCATGCGAAGTGCTCTCCCACGCCCGTTCGCCCCAACTCCCTTACCGATTGCTTCAGACGCTCCACGCTGTCACCAATGTTCTCCACGCAGTCTTGCACCGCTCTCCTCTCCCTACCCTTCACGCCTCTTGCTTTCGACATCTTCTTCACGAACGATGCCGATGATCGCGTCCTCGATATGCTCACCGACAAAGCAGTTATCGCAAGCTGCCTCTCGCTTCGGTGAATCACGCTTGCGTAGGCCAGCAGCGATTGGACGCATAAAACAGGGTACCGTGTGGTCCTGCACGACGACTTCACGAACTCCGCAGGGTTAGGGTCTGAGTGTTTGGTTATGGAACATTGTGCGGTGCCGCTCATGTAAATTACTAGGTTCATGAGAAGCAGTGAAACGAATCTCATTGTGGTTGCCATGCCTAACTAACAAACAAGGATGCAGATTTTCTCTCTTAAACTTCTTTCTTATAGGGGGTAGGAATAGGAAGTTCAAAATATTTTGTTCTTCTGCGAAGTGCAATAATAGCCATGTTTTTTTATTTACAACACTATAGGGACGTGTAGTGATTCAAATCAATGGAAGAAAAGAGAGATAAAGGAAAAGAAAAGAAGAAATAGACGTGACAAAAAAAGGAATATGTTATTTCTTTACGAATTAATAAATTTACAAAAACTCTCTTTGCATCACAATCTCTCTTGATTTCCGTCAAATTCTAATTTTATTTTAAAATTAAAATTCAGGCAATAGCATTTGGTCGTATTTATAGATGTTGTGCAAATAATATACATCCTATACACAAATTATTGTACCACTAAGAAAGGCTCTTTATTGAATGACAAGATGGGTTTACCTACGTTAAGTATAATTCTTATCAATTTTACATTTTTAATATGTTTTTGCGAGTGATCAATTTTATCATTTAAAGAATTAGTTTATCACAAACTTTCCCGTTTGATAAATTTATTATTTTCAAAATTAAATCATATCAACAGTATTCATTTGATAGTATAGTTTTTAACATTTCATAACCATTAATTTCTTAATTAAAAAGTCAAATACATATTCAATTTTTTAGAAAATTCTTGTTAAAAATATTAAATCTTAGTGATAAATGACAACTAAGTGTATAAGTCATAAATAAGAAGTTAGAATAATTTCAAATTTTATTAGAGTAAAATAAAATTAATTTTAGCAAGTTTGCGATTTCATTTAATCTCATTTTGAACCGAAGAAATATAACCAAAAATTGAATAGATAAATGCGATTCTTTAAATAAAAAAATATTCTGATTTATTAAAAAATAAAAATAAAAATAAAATTTCAATTCAATTCAATACGAAGGAGTACCTATAATAATTTAATTTTAATGTGAGATTTCAAAGTTATATCCCATCACAATAATTTTAAAAATAAAACTTAAAGCACACAATATGCCTTCTTCAGATGCCAGTGTGATAGTGCAGTTGGCAAATAAGATTTCATTGTAATACTGTGTGCTTATGTTCTAATATACCATTTTCATTTCATGTTACTAACATTGACAGTTTATTATAAAGTCGCATTCAACGTCTAATTTAAATAAAGCAGCACAAGTTGACATTAACGACTAATATAGAATTTAACTTTAACTAATTGTAAGTTGCCAATGTAAACCCATTTTTATTGACCCCAAGTACACTTGGTTCATTAATCCTTCATCCTTGGGCAGAATCAAGCTACAAAATTCATAATAAGAGGGGTTTATTGTGGTTTTAAAATCAATTTTCAGCTAAATTTCAGCATAAGGTTCACAGGTCGTATTTCAAAATGTACAACTTGTTAGTTCAGATATTACAGTTGCCACCACAACATCTCAGTTCTTTAGTATTTTCTTTTGATACAATTTTCACAAAACTAATAGAAAAGCGGGAAGAAACGTACTATATGCTCTAAACTGTCATGTACCTAATAACAGACCCCCGGAGCTTCTCCATGTATTCTGCAACCTGTCTCTGCAAAAAGGAAAATAACATGTAAAACTTCTATTGAGGCAGATTACAAACACATCTCAATATCGCTTACGCACCACAGTGTGATTGTATATTTCATTATTCAACCAAATATCATGTTCCCACAATCCTAAGTCCATTAATAGACATCTACCAGTTGAGAGCTTTTAATCTAATTTTTCTAGTCCTGTGGCATCAAAATGTTCCAAGAAGGGTCCTGCCATATTAGTTACAATATAACCGAGTGAAACTGGGGCTATTTTGCCTCAATATTGGCAATTCCACTCACAGTTTCTACTGACAAGTGGAAAAACATTCCCAAATCTATCGCCTACCTGGTTACCCTTATGTGCGTTTGCTATGTTTTCATCCAGAAGTGCTAACAAAGATCTATTAATTTCATTCTTTTCAACCATATCCAGCAACTGCATACAAGACAAGTTTAGTGAGCATGACTAAAATAAAACCGACAAACTTAAAAGAGAGATCGAACAAGACATACAGTTGCTTTCACATCCTTTGATGTCAAGATTTTGGTTAGGCTTGCCCTGGCTTTTATGAGTTCACCTTGCATCTTATCATAGGCTTCTGTATTTCAAGATAGGAACAAGGAGTGTGAGCTTTATATCTTTGGTTAATTCCTAAACTCTCTTTTTTATTTTATTTTATTACTAACAAACCTATTCCTTCCTGTATGGCTTTCTCTAGAGCCTCCAGTTCAATCTGTCTTTCCTCCATGTGCTGCAGAAACAATCAGTATAAAATTACCAGACACAAGCATGTTTTGCTAAACTCAAATGTTTTTAAGGAGCCGAAAACAATAGGTACCTCTGTTTTGTTAACAGCGAATCGAAGCTGTCCTAACTCGAATTTCAGTTGCGCAAAGAAACCCTCATCCAATCTGCAGAGTCAATTGAATCAGACACAAGAAACTGATTGAGTTACATTAAAAGGAAACGAAGGGTTAAGGACAGTAGGAACCGCGGTCTCATTCTTGCAATCTCAAACTCAATCTCCTGAGCTTCAGTGTCAAGGAAGTATTCAATGAGCTCTTCGGGAGTATCGGGAACAATACGGGACTGAGAAATGAAAGAAGAACAAAACGAATGAACAATGGAATGAATAGATAATATATATATATATATATATATATATATATATATATATATATATATATATATATATATATATATGTGTGTGTATATATATATGAGAGAGAAATACTTGTCGAAGGGTTTGACGGCGTTCTTTCTCTTCATGGACGTGACGTTCGAAGGCTTCGCGAGCTTCTGCGTCTCTCTCGAGGCGTCTTCGAAACTCCAGCCTGGCGAGGTGGCCGGTTTCGGGACGGCCAAGCACGCCTTCGGGGTCCTTCCTTCGCGCAACAAATTTTCAAACACAAGTTGCAAGACAATATCATAAGACATAAGACGAGTTAGTTTGGTTTTGTTTAGTTACCCATCCAATAGACAAAATTGTGGGTGTGCGCCACCTGCAGTTGCTTCTCGTACGATAACCAACGGCGGCGCTCACACTTGTGGTTGCGATGCCAAAGCTAAGCGTGGCCATTGAGATTGAACCTGCACCCGCTCTCTCTGTAAACTCTCAACCTTGCAACTGCAACTTCCTTCCCTTCCCACTCAAATTTTGCATTATCCTTTACAACTTGGGAAATTCTGATGTCGCCAAGGGTATCTCTGTAATTCAATTTGTTCCACCCTGCCCTTGATTTTTTTTTTTTGTTCAAGTTTTTTTAGAATGGACTGGGCCATTTGTAGTAGTTTCTGTTCATGGACCCATTCACAGTGGTACGCGACTCGCAATGGATATTCCTTTAGTCAAGGCTAGAAAGATTAACAAAACAGGAGAATTTAATAATTTTTTACAGATACTTGTAAGCAAAGAAAATACAATTAGTTTATTTATGGAGTAAAAAACAATTTCTCTACAAGGGATTATGCATTTAATATTTGCAAATTTTGAAGAAACGTTTTTTTGGGAAGATCTCTTTGAGTAATCCAAAAGAATAAATTAAACATGCCCCTGTAGAGGATACAGTTGTTGAAGTGCGATTCAATATCTGTAGAGAGGAAGATTCAAAGTTGAATTTGATTTCTACCCACCCTGATCTCTGGAAATTGAGAATATCTTCTCATTATATTAAACAATTAGCCAGATACTAGTATGTCTGAAACCTTTAAGATGATGAAAGGTCAACTGCGATTTTTATAGTGTAATTTGAGTCGTTAAGAAAAAAGTGGAATGGATATGATGGGTTGCCAGGAATCAAGGAGAGAATCATTTTTTGTTCTATTTTTGTCCCATACTCGACCATTCATCTTCAGGCTTCATAATTAGTACAGCTACATCCAACCTACCTCACAATATGAAGAACCTCCATTATTTTTCATTATGTTTTTCAGTAATTTGTTTATGTGTCGTTTTCAAACGCTTCCCGTGTTAAAAACTCCGATTGTAAAATATAAAATAATGCAACTTCTGGTTTTGCCGTCTTAAATTAAGCGAGGACGTGGCATCTCCTTCTGATTAGTGAATAAGAAAAGTGATGTCAACGTGTAGAGTCCAGCGAGGCAATCACAATTTGGAGGTATTTATGAGACTGGAAGAGAACGACCAGACCAAAACTAGAAAGACATCATCGTAGGTAACGACAGCAAAACCAAAATCACAATGTATAACTCGTTGATGATGAGTTGGATGTTGGTGTTGGGCATCACTGTAATCAGCTTTGCGAATGGACAAACTGTGCCACCTTGCGCCCGGCGACTATCTCCATGCATTGATTTCATGAACTCCACCAACCCACCACAAACTTGTTGCGATCCGGTCAAAGAAGTAAACACAACTCAGAAAACATGTTTCTGCCAAGTGGCATTAAGTCCTGGAATGCTTGAAGGTATAGGTATCACTACCGCTCAGGCTGTCCAACTTCTTCAATCATGCGGTGTAGACTTCAAAATCACCAACTGTGAAGGTAAGCCTCTGTTTTGCCCACCATTTTCTGCGCTTCTGTTGTAATCACAATTTCAGTAAACAAATATATCATGTTGGTACGTCGAATCAATCAAATCGTTCTGTTAATATTTTACTTGATATTCGATAAAGATCCTTGAATTTCAATTTTTTTTTTTATCGAAATTTCAGCATATTCTTCGGCTCCACCCCCGTCGTCGGTGCAGCCCCCAGGTAAGAACTCTCTCGTCTTTTTTCACTTTATTCAATTGTAGGTCTTCTGGAAAGTTCAAATTCATATTTTTTTTCTTAACATAACGTGTTTTTGTTATTAAATGATTTTCTTTTTCGTAATCTTTCGTCTATTTATTTTCCCTAGAACGAGTAAATAGAAAATTCACCATCTTTGAAAAAGCATAATATTATGAATTTGCAGCAATGGCAGGAGGTGATAAACGAGGCACAAGCAGAGCTACGTTCCCTGGGCTCTCCTTCATACTGTTCTTGTGTGTTTACGTGCTGTTCAATTAGGAAGATGAACCTTCCCTTCACAAAACCTTCTTTGAATTCTACGTCATAATTCTTTTCCATTGTTTTTATCATCTCTCGTATCAATGTTTTTCTAACATTGGTAAGTTGTTTAATTAGTCACAATTTATTAATAATACTTTTATTTAAACGAGTTAAATTTGTTTTTGGATTTTAAATCAGTCTCAATTTATCAGTGAAAATTTCATTTAAACATGTTAATTATGCGTGTGGGAGAGGGATTTTGTGGAATGGGTTAGGATAATTTTATTATTGTCTCTATCCAGCTTGGAATCTCATTAGAATCATATCATTTCGTTAAATCTAACTCCAACTACTTTAAGAATCAATATTTTTTAATAAAACAGGGTTGACTCAATTTCGAAACTATATATTAATATTATGTAAAATTAATCACAAAATTAAAGAAGTTTATCCACATAATTAGAATCACAATGAAAAATCAATATAATAAAAATTATTATCATATATATTATTAATATATTGAATATTATTAATTAAATTTTCATTTGAAAAGTAAAATTTATTTTATTATGTATTTTTGAAAATAAATCTATAATTTTTTAAAAAATATCTTTAAAACTCAATTTGATTTTTTTTTCATATTTTAATATCAAAATAAAACATCATAAAATTTTAAAATAATTAACTAAATTTATAACAAATAAAAAAATTATATCAATATTTTACATTTTCATATTATATTATACATACTAATTTATTGTAATAATAAATAAAAATAATAATAAAAATTATTTATTGTTTCTTTATCTCACAAAAATTATTATGAAGTATTTTTTTTAAATTCATGTCTTGTACTTTAATGTAAACAGGAAAAACAAACTAAAAAAAATAAAATTATTTAAACCTATTTAAAAATCATAAAAGTGAATTTAAAAAAATATATTAAATAAACAGACAATATATAATAATTTGAAATATATGACTTTTTAAACAACATTAGACTTGGGATTAATTTAAAACGATTCAAGGCATTATTTGTCGTAAGAACTATTTCGATTTTAATCTTAAAATTTGAGCTTATCTAAATTAACTTGAAACTAGAACAAGAGATCAAATCATAAACATGTAGGATAATTAAATTCTTTATAATTTAATAATATATATATATATATATATATATATATTAATAAAAAAATTGTCCGTAGATTGACATAAATTATCAGGTAATTCTATATAATTTAGAATTTATGATTTTAATTTGTTGATGTGAACATGGTATATGATAAGGGTTAAAAGGGAAGTAAATAAATTTTTTTAATAAGTATTGTTGGTTGACCAAATTGTGTTTTGGATTAATCAATTAATGACTTTAGTTTAGTTTTATTGCAAGTTATAATAAGGGTCCAATTTAAAATTTAGTCATCAGTTTTTTGGAGACCAAGAGGGTTGTAACAATTTCAGATACAATAAGTCATTAAGTAGTTTTCAATTCCTAGGTTAATAAATCATTATTAGCATTTATTTTCCTTCAGTGAAACTTCGTAACTTTGATGACAAAACTTCTTTATAAGCTTAGTTATTTTTATCACAAATAACAAGTTGAGTTTTATTTTTAAAAATATTAGAGTTTATCTCTTTTATCTCAGTGAGAGTGATTCTCCTAAGTTCTTGAGTGATTCAACAATACTTGGCTGTATTAAAGGACTTTCACATCTTTTGTAAGTTATTTTCTTTAGGAAGAGTGATTCTTTCTTTCCACCTTATCACTAAATTTCTAAATTTTCTACAAGGTTCTAACCCTAAAGATCTTAAATCACCCTTTGTGATTCATATCAATTGGTATTCAAAGCACTAGTTTAAAAGTTTGAACATCAAATTGATGGCAGGGGAAGATAAAAAGAAAATGAAAGAAAAATTTCTTCAAGAAAAGAGGAAAAAAAAAAGCGTTATTGGTGAAACACTTGAGAAGAAAAAAAGTAATCAAAAGAAGAGTGAAACACTTAAAGTAAATTAGAGTTATTTAACCACAAAAAGTAAATATAATGTTAGTTCTACATTTAATTTGTTAGACTTATTTTTTTTTTTTTATGTAGATGACAAATCTGATTTGAGGACAAATCCTTTTTAAGAGAGAGAATGACGTGAACATGATCTATGATAAAAACTAAAAGGAAAACAAATGAAGTTATTCAACAAGTATTGTTGATTAACCAAATTGTGTTTTGGATTAATCAATTAATGACTTTAGTTTAGTTTTATTGCAAGTTATAATAAGGGTCTAATTTAAAATTTAGTCATCAGTCTTTGGGAGACCAAGAGGGTACAGATTGACTTTTAGTTGTCACAATTTTAGATACAATAAGTCATTAAGTAGTTTTCAATTCCTAGGTTAATAAATCATTATTAACATTTATTTTCCTTCAATGAAACTTCGTAACTCTGATGACAAAACTTCTTTATAAGCTTAGTTATTTTTATCAAAAATAACAAGTTGAGTTTTATTTTTAAAAATATTAGAGTTTATCTCTTTTATCTTAGTGAGAGTGATTCTCCTAAGTTATTGAGTGATTCAACAATACTTGGCTGTATCAAAGGACTTTCACATCCTTTGTAAGTTATTTTCTTTGGGAAGAGTGATTCTTTCCTTCCACCTTATCACTATCTAAATTTTCTACAAGGTTCTAACCTTAAAGATCTTAAATCACCCTTTGTGATTTATATCAATTAGTATTCAAAGCACTAGTTTAAAAGTTTGAACATCAAATTGATGGCAGGGGAAGATAAAAAGAAAATGAAAGAAAAATTTCTTCAAGAAAAGAGAAAAAAAAAACGTTATTGGTGAAACACTTGAGAAAAAAAAAAGTAATCAAAAGAAGAGTGAAACACTTAAAGTAAATTAGAGTTATTTAACCACAAAAGTAAATATAATGTTAGTTCTACATTTAATTTGTTAAACTTATCTTTTTTTTATGTAGATGACAAATCGATTTGAGGAAAAATACTTTTTAAGAGAGAGAATGACGTGAACATGATCTATGATAAGAACTAAAAGGGAAGCAAATGAAGTTATTCAACAAGTATTGTTGATTAACCAAATTATGTTTTGGATTAATCAATTAATAGACTTTAGTTTATTTTTATTTAAGAACATTTTACTTTATCAAAAGATTTTTACATCTTTTATAAGTTATCTTTTTTAGGAAAAATGATTATTTCCTTTTATCTTATTACTAAATTTCTAGATTTTCTAGAAAGTTATGTCTCTAAAGATCTTAAATCACCTTTTCTTATTCATCTCTATATCACTTTTTTTTTTTTAAATCAAAATCACATAAAATAGGTACAAGAAGTGCTATCGTACATATTATAACACAGTACTTTTGTATCAGCACCCCATTGTATCTTAATTAGAGAATTTCTAAATATAATAGACTTGTGTTCAAATTTTCTATACTAAACTTGATCTCAAATATTCCCACAAAGTATTAATATTTAGCTTGGAAAGATTATATTGAAAGTTTGAATCTGTTCATGCCAATCCGTCCAATCGAATTCCATCTCCTGTTTCAATGTGTTGAAAAAAAATTGAAAACCTTTCTGGAGACTCAAGCGTGCACAAGACCAAGTCACTAAAAAAAGCCACCAGAAGCACTCAAAATTAATTTTATAAATAAAACCAGTCTTGTCGGTTTTCAACGACATTAAGTCATATGATTAGTTTATATTTTGTGAAATGTTTGTTTCAGTGAGACAGTGACGAATTGATTACTCTCTGATTATGTAATTACTTTCTCAAATACTTCAATTAAGCATAGTTAATTTTATAAAATTAGGTAATGTACTGTCAGCATGACAATGAAGTCGCAACCACTGTACACAGATCCAACTTTGAATTCAAGCGAAGTGCTTATTTTAGACTCTGGAATGATCTGTGAAATTGAATAGTTATACTTTTTTCTACTTATATATTGAGATTTGTTGATATGAAAGAATGATATTATCATGATTTCATTATCGAAATGGTGATATCATTAGCATTATTTTTATGTTTATGGTATTAGTTAATATGAAGTTTTATTCTTTCACAATTTTATTTAAAAAAATGTTTTTAGGAATTAAAAGAAAAGATATATACAAATTATTTTTAATCTTAATTTTAAACGATCTAATTTTGTTTTTCTTTTTGGATAATCTTGTGTTTACTTTCACTAAGCACTCTTGGTCTCTCTCAAACCGGTCAATATGCAACAATAGTCTAATATATTCCAAAAGTAAAAAGAGGGCGACCATTTTTAATGTTTAAAGCAAACTAAATACTTTAATTCTACTACACATTTCATATTTTCAATTTTTTTCTTATACTCAATTAAGTTAGAATATATTTCCGTAATTCTAAACATTTTTTTATTTAAAATTTTATATTTACTCATAAAGGAAAATACCATTCAAATTAATAAATATTTGTTACTTGAGGTTGGTTTAGAATTTAGAGGTACTTTGACCAGTTATATGTATTTTGGTTTGAAGTACTTTGACTTTTGTCATGAGTAGAAAATTAATATATATGGTATTTTTTATAAGAGTTTATTCAATAATTTATTTTCCTATTCTCTCCCCTAATATGATATAAGAGTAATTATTTTTATATTTATAATTTTGTTCTTTCACTTATTATGAAACATCATTTATTTTTTCTGTTTTATTTGAAATTAATGTGTTAAGTTGAAAATAATAAACATTTTCTTTATAAATATATTTTTTGTTTGTTTTATTTGTTTGTTCAAGCTTAAGCAACAATTAGAGTATATCATTATTGTTATCACTTATTCCAAATCTTTCGTTTCTGATTTAGAGTTTTTAATAATACTATTATGTACATTATCAATGTAATTCAAGCAAGAGTAGACACTGATAAAGTATTTGAGTAGTCTTAAAGTGAAAAATGACATTGAAAGTAAAAATTAGAACCACAATGAAAAACCAGTATTTTTAGATCTTAAAAGGTTATTTGTAGGTTAAGAGAAAAAGTATTTGAACCTAGAAAAATTATTTCTAAAAATTCCTGCGTTAGTTAAACCTTTGATTGGTTGTAGCAAATCAATTAAGGAAGAGAGAACCCGAAATAGAATGGTGTTGAGATACTTTTATTTGAAGGAAATGTTCATTTTGCAGTCAATGATTGAAATGTGTGATTGCCATGTTCCATAAACAAACATTTGCGTAGTTAATCATTTGAGAATAATCAATACTATTCATAATAATGAAACAAAATGTACTTAATCAGAGTGTTAAAAAAATAAAAAATGAAATTAGTGTTCTAACATTTCCTTTTAGAAAGAACCCTAGCCGTTTCCAGAAAAAGTAAAATATGAATAAAAAACAATAAATTGAAGTTGGCAACTACCCCTAACCTAAGCTGAAGGTGGCAGATAGATCCATGAGAAGGATATGTATACATCAAGGTCTAGTTTTTTGATAACAAAGATTTGACTTGGATATGATCTACTTGTCTGGGAATGAAGCTATAGGCCTTTTTGCTTTTCTTATATTCTACTCATACCAAGCTTTGTTGCAATCAGTCGCAGCTCCCCCTATTGACTTCTTTGGAACTTCTGATTCATTTGTTTCTTGGTTATGTAAACCTAATTAACCACTCTAAAACATGTTTACATATCAAAACGAAACGTTCAACCATTGTAATCATGGAATCAAATAATCTCCCACCTATACTAAATTCGAATATAATATATAAAGAATTCATTTAATTGAGACGTATCTTTTATTCTTAATATTTTTTTTATAATTTAATTATTTGAAATAATAATTTATTTTATTTATTAGATTATCAATAATTTATCTTAAAATAAATTAATTCATTTACTTAAAAATAAAACTTAGATACTTATTTTTCGTCTTCATTTTAAATCTATATTCTAAAATTATAATTCGTCTTAATTATTAAATTAAAAAATTAATGATAATGAAAAATATTTCTCTTCCTTTTGTTTGATTTATTTTTAGTTTTTAAAAATAATTTTTAAAATCAATTTTAAAAAACTGTTTTGAAAATAAATTGAAAAATAATTATTTGATAACTCTAATTTAAAAATGTTTTTTTATCACAAAAAGTTGCGACGAAAATTAAAAAATATTTTTGATAATTTTACGATGATAAGTTATTCGATGTAATTATTGATAAAAATATTGATACACATTAACAAAATAGAAATAATTTTTAAAAATTGTTTTAACAAAAATACCTGCGAAGCAAGTTTTTTAATTTTTAAAAACTAAAAAAAGTGAAAACTAACTTTGAAAATTTAGATATCTTCTCTTTATATAAAATAAAAAAAAAGATTATAATTTGTCTATGTATTTTTATATTATCATTTTTATTTTTAAATATATCTCAAATAAGTTAAATGATAAAATTTTCTTTTTCATAACTTTTAGAAAAAGAAAAAAATAAAATGATTTTTTTGTATAAATTACAATTAGTTTATAAATAATATAAAAAAATTGGAAAAAATATCTAAGAAATTTTCTATAAATCAATTTATACATACTCTAATTTTATTTAATTTTTTATGAATTTTTGTTTTCTTAATTTTTTTCTTCTAAGATACCCATGAAAAAGTTTATCCTAACAATTCAAAGTTATATATAAATTACCGTTAATGCAAACTATTAAATAACACAACGAAATGTAACCTAATTTTAGATTTATTTTATAATATATCAGTTTTTGTTTTTCTTCATATAAAATATTATTTTAATAGTCCTTTAATATATTTTGTTTCATTTTAGTTCATGACATGCTCTTGCGAGTGAAGTAAATATTTCGGAAAAAAATGGGGGGACCTATTATATTCATTGTTCAAAAGATTTTTTTTTTTTTTAAGATCCGAATTAAAATAATCGTTATTTATTTATTTATTTTTATTCCTCTTCTTTATTTTCACCTCGTAATTATGTATAATTTATCATTCAAATATGGTTGTAGTTTGGCTCAAGCTGGAATGAGCACAGCACAGAGCAGGTGATCGATCTCATTGTCCTTGTAAATGAATAGAAAAAAGTTAAATCGAAATTATTGAATTTGTTTTGAATCCTTTCAGTCGTGACTTGTGGAATGGTTCCGTTTGTCTCTACTGTCTTACTTTCCACAGTACATATGCATCTCGGTGATAGGATAGATAAAGAGGACGATGGAAATTATTGCTTTGTAACATGGAAAAAATAGATCAAAAACAAAATTGTGGCCCCGGAACACACCAGTTCATTGTCCATTCCTGAAAATAACAAGAAAGATAAAAATATATATAAAATTCTCAGTATCTTTTTACATTTAAGATTTTCAAACTAAGCGCAGCGAATTGCCCCACACGCACCATAGATGATCGATGATTTTACCGCGTTAGATCAGTCTCCTTCGAACACTTCCAGTAGCTACAATTTCACCCCATCAATGGATATTTTGCACATGCGGAGCAAGCGATTTAGCAATCGTCCACACTCTATCACAATCTACAGCTCATAAGGACACGTAGACGTGGTGATGACGAAATGGTTGAGTAAGAGTGCAATTAGGGCAGTGGATTTTGTAAAGGAAAATTGAAAAAGATTAATCATTTTGCACATTTTTTTCCCTTTAGGATGCTTACATGTACCTCTGCCTTTGGGTCACCAATTCTTGAGCATCACCCAATTTATGCAGTGAGAAAAAACACACCAGAACATCCCATATTAGTTCCCGCATAGCTTTCACAACACCTTGGTGGGACCCCGAATTCCCTCTCAGTTTTTCTCCGCCTCCTATTCGAGGATGCATATTTTTATTTGATATAATAATTAAGCAGGAAAAGGAGTGGGCTTTATGAATATATAAAGGTGGGTGTGGGACTTTTGAGTCATCACAACAAGAAGCTAGTGTTGGTGACACCTTCCATTGGCTAACTTGAAGGTTTGTATTGGTTGCTAGCAAGTGGTGTGGTGTGGTGTGTTGTTACTGGCATGGGGAGGCAACCTTGCTGTGACAAACTTGGAGTGAAGAAAGGTCCATGGACTGCTGAGGAAGACAAAAAACTGATGAACTTTATTCTCACCAATGGCCAGTGCTGTTGGCGTGCTGTTCCCAAGCTTGCTGGCCTTCGTCGTTGTGGTAAGAGTTGTCGTCTTCGTTGGACTAATTATCTCAGGCCTGACCTGAAGAGAGGCCTCCTCACAGAGGCTGAAGAACAGCTTGTGATAGATCTCCATGCCCGTCTTGGCAACAGGTTATTCATATATATTTTTCTACCTCACCTTCTACCATATTCCCTCTATTAATTTATTATTTGCTCTACTACCCTATGATGTCGCCACTTATATCTACGTAACACAGGTAACTACATTTTTCTAAATACAAAAAAGGTATTAATAACTTGTCACAAGAATATTCTCACAACCACAACACGTGCTTTAGCCTGGTTTCTCCTTCAAACAAGTTTATAGTCATAGTCATTACATGCATGTATATTATGCTCGAGAAGGTTCTACATTTGAAATCATGTTTTAAGTGGGTAACTTAGGCAAAAGTGATTACAGATTTATTATCAGTATACAGACGTAAAACATACATGGAGGACAGTAGTAAATAGTGCATGCATGTGTGAAGAGTTTCTGCGGGGTTATTTCATTACAAATTATTATATGTGATATATTTATTTATTTATTTTTATAATTTATTGATAACTTAAGATGGTTATACTAAAACTGAATAAAAATTAAACTCATAACATAAAAATATGATCAATTGATAGCTCGCAAAAGTCAGATAATTGTTCAGTAAAGAATAATGACGTATTGGTATTAGTTACGAGATAACTCTCAATTTAAGCTATCTATACGGTTCGTTTGATAGGGGTACCTAACTTTGGGACTAAAGAAAGACCTTCAAATCAAGTTTACCGTAAATGTGGGAAATTTGTTGGAAATACGAGTGATTGTTGTAGTTTGTCTGTCTTAGGTGGTCCAAGATTGCTGCCAGGTTACCAGGAAGAACAGACAACGAGATTAAAAATCACTGGAACACCCACATCAAGAAAAAGCTCCTCAAGATGGGTATCGACCCTGTTACTCATGAACCTCTCAACAAAAAGGTCTCATCCCAGGATAGTTCTTCTCCTGCAGAGCCTTTGCCACAAGTTCATAAAATCCATCAGGTTAAGGAAAATGGTGGGGTTCTCAACTCGGAAGAGAATTCCTCCACATCACCACCTGAAAATTCTTCTGGGGAAGAATCGCTTTTGATGGATAGCATTTGCAGTGATGTGTATCTAATGAACAGCATGTGGCTGGATGAAACTCCTCTTGTGAACACATTATGGGACAGTACACTTAAATTAGAGAATGAAAATAATGGCATGGGCTTGCCAATGTGGGAGGATAACCGTCCTTGGTTGTTGGACTGCCAGGACTTTGGTATTCATGATTTTGGTTTTAACTGTTTCAGCGAGATTGAGTCAAATGCACTTCACACCGTAGGCATGGACAGAAAAGGGCTTTAGAATGCAGTTCAGCTAGTAAAGTGAGTTATCCTTAAGAAACAGAGCAAGCTAAAAAATATGTATGTGACAAATTGGAAATAAATCCTCTGGTGTCCATGTCACGTTCAAATTTTGTGTTAATATCTTTCTTGATGAATATTAGATAAGTTTTCGTCGATTATTTGTCAAGAATGTGATACACACAAGATTTGAACGTGATTTTGTTATGTTAAAGTTTGACACAAGAGGATTAACAAAATACCATGGACTTGGATAAGGTTCTTGGTTTGGTGTTGAATTTTATCTACCTATTGTTTTACATAATGTTCCTGGTAGGTGGACGATAAACCTTTCCACTTATGAGGATAGTCACCAACCCAATCATAGAGATGATCCCGAACAAAATCCCCCAAATGCCACATTACATGAAAGCTCAAGAAAATGGGAGAAGTCAAACAACTACTGGGTTTTGTAATTATGTATGTAACTTATTGTACATAGATGTTTAATTTGAAAATACTGTTAAAATTTTGTTTATGTCGTGGCTATAAATTGTGCAATAATTATTTTCATTTCCTTGTTCGTGTCACAGAGAGATGGATAGAGAAAAAAACTGGGCTTGGGAGATGAAAATGATGACTTTCCTTGACACCATTGAATCCCAAAGTGAGGGTGGGGCGCATGTTTTGTTTTGATGGCAGAAAAACATTTTGCTAACATTTGTGACATTCTAATTCTAAAGAACACGGGTGGAGCGCATGATTTGTCATGCACATGAGTGCTTTAATTATCTTTTCATTTGTTTTTGCAATGTATGGATAGTGCTCCAATGCCATCATATACACGACAAGCTGACAAATGATACCACCTCTCTCTCACTGTCATCCACTCCTCTTTACCTTTTGCTATTTCATTACTTTCCTACTGAATTTATTTTAATAAAAAAATTAATAAATTTTAAAAATTCATCATTTCTCTTTTATATTTATTTGATTTTATTTACTTTATAAGTTGATTAATAAAATAATTATAGAAAAATTAAACAATTTACAATATCATGCATTATTCTTTAAAAATAAATTACTTTAAACAGTCAATATTTTATTTAAACATCTCTTTTATGAAAATAATAAAAATGTTATATATAATTTTTTTTATTCTTTTATATATTTTTTATTGATGATTTACGTAAAAGAAAATTTTGAAAATATCATTTTTGTACTTGATAAATAATTATAAATCTTGTAATGTGAATAATAATTTATATATATTATTTTTTTAATATAAATGATTTTTTTAAATAAAAATATGATGGATTAAAATTTTAAAATAGATAATAATTTTTAATAATATGAGATACTCTTAATTTTTAGACGTAATATTAGTTACAGTGATTTATTTTTATCTCTTAATCCTTTACTCAAAAATTACGTAGATAAAATAAATAATATATTTTAATGAAATAATAATTATTTTATAATTAAGAATGATATATTATGAATTTATCTTTATCTTCGTTGATCTTACGAATTTATTTAAATATAATAATTATAAACATAATTTTATTATTATTATTATTATTATTATTAAAATGAATTGTTGAATAGTTATATATAAAAAATTGTTGATATATTATTTTTCGTTAAAAATACATCAAACTAATTTTTAAAAGAAAAATACACCTGATAACATCCGAAGAAAAGGTTAAAGTTATGTTATAATAAGAGAAAAAGAGAAATTATGAGTATTGAAAAATAATGAATGTAAATATATAATTACACTTTCAAAATATATAATTCTAAGTTAGTTCAGATTTTAATATTAATAAAAATTAAATTAACTTTTAAATGTTATCCATCTTTAATTAATTATAAAATTAATATTAAATTATTATTATTATTCTAATTACTCAATGTCTACCTTACGTTCTTACGACATTTTTCTTTTGTCTAGAAACTATCATTAAAATATAAAATGATACTAATATTATTTAGTCAATAAATTTGGCTATCACCGTCTATTTGATTCCTGAACTCAGAAAAATTCACTTATCTTGATCTCTTACATGAAGAATAATAGTCAAATACTAAATTGAATGGTATATGAACATTCAAATTTGAAGTTGTTAATGAAAACTTTTTCTTGAAACTAAAGATGAAATTTACATATGCTTAATATCAAAACTAAAATAATTTACGGATGCGACTTAACATAACAATGTCTTTTTGGATTCTACTGTTTGAATCATAATGTATTCTCAATAGAGGTGGGATTCTATTTACTTCTTACAGAATTTAAAAAATTACAGAATTTAAAAAATTATATTAATAAAGAGTTGTTTAAAAATAAAAATAAATATTTTATTTTAGATTATACATATTAATTTTTTTTAAAATGTTTACAATTAAAATAAAATAATTTATATAAAATAATTTTTTAATTTTAAGATTTATAATAAAAAATTATTTTTTAAATAATTTTTACTAGAAACTTGACTTAAACTAAAATTGACGAACGTGGCAATAAAGAATACCTTGCAATAGATTAAAAAAAAAAAACGTGGCAATAAAGGATAACTTTCAAGAAAAAAAAAAAAGAAAAAGAAAAAACTGAATGGAGACCGCATTGTCCATAGGGAAAGTTTATGACAACTTGACAAGTATATTTAATCACTCACTCTGTCATCATCGTCGCAATAAAATTAATAAAAGTATTCTTAAGGAAGATGTCAGCATTTTGATTCATGGTGGTGCATCTCTGAACCTGCTACTATTTCCATTAATATAACTACTCAAGTACTTAGTGGAGTTAATCATTATAACACTTTTGAAAGCAAATAACACCATTTCCCAACTCACTCCATATTATTTTATCTCCGCCATCATTCCAAAGCTTTGGAATTGGAACATATAGGCCTATGATTTTTGAAACATTTTAGATCAACAATTAGGCTTTCATCAATTCATTTCTCAAGTTCTTCCCAAACAACTTGGAGAGTGGTTTCTTCGGATTTGGTTTCATCAGTTGAAATTTGTTTGTAAGGTCATGTATGTTTGATACTAGAAAAATCAATCTTATATATATAAACACTAAAGCAAACATTGCATTTACGATATGTTGATTAGTATGATCATAGAACTCTACCCATAGTGTGTTCTATCTTACTCAAATACCATTATCATAAATACCCATAATTGTTTATTAAATTAATTGAAATTTTAAATATAAAAACTAAATTTTGAAATGCTACTTCAAATCTAGAGTGCAGTAAGTATAAGAAAGATTTTTATAAGAGAAAAACTTAAATTAGAAAAAAAAATTGACAGATTCATATTTCAAGCAGACTTACTAACTGATATTGGAAAGAAAACATTAACATATTCAACAGATATTGAAATTAAAAATTGATAGAAAAAACATATTCAACTGTTAGAAAATTATAAGAAACTTACATGTACGAAGAGATGTAGTAAATGTTCTTGATTTTATTAAAAGAGTAAACCAGTTTTTTATTACATTTTTTATTTTTATTAATTAATTTAAATCATATTTATTAATTGTAAATACAAAAGAAAAATTAATAAAACATAATTAAACTTGGACTGAACTTTAAAATATGACAAATAAAAAAAATTATATAAGAAGTTGTGACAAATGAAAGCAATAAGAAAAAACTTAAGAATCTGAAATGGAAATCCTGTACTTTTTTACCTTCTTCCAACCATTAATCCAAATCTTAAAAAAAAACATTAATCTAAAAAACCTTATCCAAACATATATACCTTAACAATATTTGAAACATGAATTGATCAGGCTTTTGTAGCACGAAGGATGGAGTACTCGGAGTTGTTAGGATCAGAGTACCAGCACAAATACACACAACTAAAATAGAGACTAGAAAAATAACACTGACAATAGGCAAAAATGGAAATTTTATAATGACTACCCTTTCCTTTACAATTGGAAATTATCAATACTCGGAAAGTAAAAGAGAAAGAAGGAGAAATTTTGGGATGATAATATAAGGAGGGAGGGGCTCCTTTTATAAGAAGGAGGAGAATCCCCCAATTGAAGTTCCCACCGATGTGGGACTTCTTTCTTCACAATCTCCCACTTGAAGATTTTGATGAAATTAATCAAATCTTCACACTATGTCTTCTTCTCTCACATCCATGTTGCTTATGCTTTCGATAGACCATAGAGGGATCGACTCCGTATAAACTTGTCAGCATTAACCGGCTTTGTCATTACATCTGCTAGGTTCTTCTCAGTGTGGATCTTCTGTAAATCTACACTTCCTTCTTCTATTACTTCTCGAACAAAATGATATCTTATTCCTATGTGTTTTGTCCTCGAATGAAAGGCTGGATTCCTTGCAATGTGTAAGGCACTTTGACTATCACAAGACACAACAATTTGTTGTTGCTTGTGACCAAGTTCCCCCATTATTCTTTTAATCCGGATAGCTTCTTTACATGCTTGGGTGACAACCATGTATTCAGCTTCCGTAGTAGACAGAGCTACCACATCTTGTAACTTGGATAACCAACTTACTGCCCCTTCATTGATGGTAAACACATAACCAGTAGTAGACTTTCTTTTATCCAGATCACCTGCAAAATCCGAATCAACATAGCCTCTAACAACCGCTTCGATCCTCCATAACATAATGCAACATTTGAGGTTCCTTTTATATACCTAAGGATCCTCTTCACATTTTGCCAATGCTCTCCACCAGGATTCCCCATGAATCTACTAACCACTCCCACCGCTTGTGCAATGTCCGGTCTTGTACAAATCATGGCATACATAAGACTTCCCACCGCTGATGCATACGGTACTCGAGACATTTCAATCCTCTCCGCTTCACCGCTAGGACTCATACTTGAGGATAACTTACAGTTGACAGGAAGTGGGGTAGAAATTGGCTTGCAATCTTGCATGTTGAAGCGCCGCAAGATCTTAAGTAAATAATTCTTTTGAGAAAGCCAAATCTTCCTATCTTTTCTGTCTCGGTGAAT